CTTCTCCAAGAACAGCCCTGGATCCCCCGAGGCTCCCAGCAATAAACTTGAATGAACCCCCTACACACAGAAAACCTCCCTACTCCTCCCCATGACAACCTGGAAACACCCTAACCCCACAGGTACGGTACTTGGCACCCCCTCCAAGAACAGATCCCTCCCCACAGAGCCACCTTGACCACTACCTGCCCACCACAAAGCCCCCCTCCCCCCAGTACCCACTCCTCTGCCCCCAGAACCTTCTCTGATCACCCCAGAGCAAGGCCCTCTTCCCAAGGACCAGCCCTAACCCCTGAGGGAGCCCTGGCTCTCTCCTCTTCCATCCACTACCCCTTTAGGAAAAAATCTCTGCCTCCCAGGACTCCACTGACCCCACAGAGCCGAATCTCCAGCGCTGTCTGTGGGTCTGGTCCTGCTTTCTCTTCAAGCCTGGGCGTACCCTCCCTGCCCGGAAGTGTGGCCCCAGGATGCCCAGACCTCCCACCCCCTTGTCCAGACTCTTCCCAAGGCCACTGGCCTGGCCGGAGTGGAGGAGCTGAGGGTCCCCTGGGGACTGGGGCAGGATGGGAGGGCTGGGGAAAGGGGGGAGCAGGAAGGGGCCTGTCAGAAGGCCACTTTATCGGCAGGAAGCACCTTGGGAAGCACAAGGGTTGGATTTCCTGTGGCCCAGCCCTAGAGAGAGGAAACGAGTGCTTCCCAGCCCCCTCTCCTGTCTCCACTATCTTCCTGCCCCCATCCCCCACCAAGTCACCAGGCCCACAATTCCTGCCTACCCTGCCCTCCCCATCCCTCCCACCACAACCCCCACCTGCCTTTACTCCCAGCTGCCAGCCTTTCATCCCACTGTGGCTGGCTGCTAGGCCAGGAACATGCTTGCTAGAGTCCTTGGTTCGGGGTGGATGAAGGAAGGAGGCCAAGAGGAGGCTGCATCTTTCCTCACCACCAGTCCGAGCAGCCCAGACCTCTGCACTAGCCCTGCCAACCTGCCCACCCAGCCTGGACCTCAAGGGAGCCCCTTCAGCCTCCCAGGCCTCCCCCTACCAACCTACTGCCCTGGGTGAGTCCCACTCTAGTCCTGCACTGCTGCCATAAAATCTTTTGGGAGAAAATCTCATATTTTGCTGATCGGCAACCAACAGATTTTTGGTCTCCAGGCTCAGCTGGGCCTAGCACTGCCCAGGGAGATACCAGAGCCCTTGCTCAGTTCTATACTGGTTCCACAAAGTGCCTGGCACATAGGATGGGCACATAATGAATGAATTCCAAGCCTGCACATTCCCCCAGCTCTACCACCACCCCAGCAAACAGCAAAAATAACAGAACCCAGAAGCACTTTACCCACATTACGTCCTTGCATCCCCGCAGCATGGTGGGTTTACAGAGGATGAAGCCAAAGGATAGTGGGTGTCTTTGCCCTTTATTTTGTTGAGAATAAAAGAACCAGGCCCCTCACCACGTCCTCTATAACTCCTGAGCAGCCCCTTGCCCAGTAAACTCCACCTCTCAGGAAGAGCCACCCTTTGCCTGCCACTGCCCACCTCCCTGTCCCAGCCCAGCCCCCTCTGCACTCCTATCTCTGTCCAGTCACCAGACCCATGGCCCTCTGCTTCCCACTCCTTCCATCCAGGCCAAGATTCCAGAAGGATGTTTCTCACCCTCCCTGCTTCTTTCCCACATTCTCCCACCACACATATTCAGATGCAAATAGGCCTCATAGGGCCTTGGGGGAATTCATGTGGGCAAAGCACCTAGAGCAGTGCCTGGCACATCCCCAGATAGCCCCCTGCCCACAACCATGCAGCTGCCCCCAGGCCCACAGGCCACACAAAGGCCCTTGCCCCACCCCACCCTGTACCCTCTCCCTCCTTGGCCTCCCAAACCTCAGTCATCTGATGCCCTTGATGTAATGCCCTGCACCTTCACGTTCTTAAGCCCCTTCCAGCATCTGTGGTCCACACCCTCCTGGCCCTTGTGGTGGGCTCCTCTCCTGGCAAAGTTTTTTGCCTCCTTTCACCTCCTTTTATTGCCCGTCCCTCCTCTCACACTCCTGGGGCCCACTTCCTCACCTAAATCCCAACTCTGCCCTCCCTCAGCAGCTTCTCCCAGCTCCCCCACTCCCCCTTGGTTTCCATGACAACTTGGTGGGGCATTCTGTTCTCAGCCCTCCACCGAATGCCCTTCTTCTCTCCTGTCTACACTTTTCTTCCCATGCTCCTCCACCCCTCTTACTCTGATCTATTTCTCTTTCTTCCGCAGCACCTATTCTAACACACTCTAATTCACTTACTTACTGTTTATTGTGGTTCACTGATGTGTCCATGGCCCAGGAGTGGTGCCTGGTACACAGTAGATGCTCCGCATTTTGCCAAGTCGATAAATCAAAGCTTCAACCTACAAGCTCTTCACACCCAACTTTCTCTGCGGATCAGACCCTCTCCCAAACTCCAGAGCAGTTTGTGTGAGGCAGGAATCCTTGGATGTCGAGTTGACTATATAACTGTCTGAGTCTGGTGTATTTTTTTGGCTAAATTTTTTATTCCCTCTACTTATTTAATGTCTATCAATATCTTTAGGTTCCATTTCATCCTGAGTCTGGTATGTTAAGTTTTACTTTTCTGGGAATACGAATTATTTCTAAAGAATCAGCTTTTTAGGGGTACCTGGGTGGCTCAGTCGTCAAGCGTCTGCCCTTCGGCTCAGGTCATGATCCCGGGGTCCTGGGATCGAGCCCCGCATCGGGCTCCCTGCTCCGCAGGAAGCCTGCTTCTCCCTCTCCCACTCCCCCTGCTTGTGTTCCCTCTCTCACTGTCTCTCTCTCTCTGTGTCAAATAAATAAATAAAATATTTTTTTAAAAAAAGAATCAGCTTTTTATTTTGCTAATCATCTGTATTTTCTATTTTGTTTTATTCTGTTCTATTTATCTCTACTTTTTTATTGTGTTATAGTTCTTTTTCTAATTTCTTGAGTTGGATATTTAATTCAATTTTTAGTCTTTCTCTTTTCTGAGAGTAAGGTTTTAAGGTTACACATTTCCAAGTGGCACTTTAATGTCCCTTAAGTCTTGATACGTAGTATTTTTAATTTCACATTGTTCTGATTTTCTAATATCAATTTTTTTGGCTTGGGAATTGCTGAAAGTATGCTTATTTACATTTTCAAATGTATACTAGTTTTTTTTTGAGAGAGAGGACTAACCTTTAGTTATTGATTTCTTATTTTATTGCATTATGGTCAGAGGAGGTGCTCTGCACAGTACTGATCTTTTGGGATTGTGTGAAGATTTCTTTGTAGCCATGTACATGTCTGTATTGGCTATTTCTATAAAAGTTTCCTATCTTTTCAATAGGAATTGTTGGATGCAAGGAGATGTAGATATAGGTATATAATCTCCCTTATATCAAGCTTGTTAACTGTATTATTCAAATATTCCATGCATTTTCTAATTTTGCGTCTACTTGATTATAAATTACCAAAAGAAATCGGTTAAAATCCCACTACTATGATATTGGTTTTAGCAATCTCTCCATGAAATTTGCCAGATTTGATTTTATATTTTTGAGACTTGGTTTTTAAGTGCTAAGAGGTTTAGGATTATTATACCTTTCTGATAATTATTCCTTTTGTTATTATACAGTACCACTCTTTATCCCTAATAATGCTTTCTGCCTTAATTTTGCTTTTTCTAGTAATTAATCTACCACAGCCCTTTTTTGTGAGTATTGACCTCATATATCTTTTTCCATCCTTTTCCTTATATCTTAGGTATGCTTCTGATATATAGTCTGTGTAACTAGATTTTTTTTTTAAATCTTACAGTTTTCAGCCTTTAATGGTATGTTTATTGTGATTGATGACAGGTTTTGATAGATTTTTACTATCTTATTTTGTGTTGTCTGTCTTTTTTCTCTGTGCTTCTTTTTCCTCCCTTCCTGTCCTCATTGGATGGATCAAGTGCTCTTTATTCCCCTTTCCCTCAACTCCCACTGGCTTGGAAGTTATGCATTCTCTATCACTTTCATAAATACACTTAAATTTTCAACCTGCATAATTAACAAATTCTAAAGTCAATTACTATCTCTACCTCCCTTCTATGTAATAATAAGAACTTAGATACTTTCACTGTAATCACTCCTCTCATTCTCTTGTCCCTGTCATTTTGCCTCCCAGGTGATCATTCTCATTGTTACGCTGTTGAGCAGTGGGTGCTGGTTTAGATTTGGCCACATGGTAGCCTGTTTCTTCACTCACTTTTCCTTCGAGGTTGAAGTCTTTTCTTCCCGAAAGCACATACTTGAGATATTTTTAATGAACGTTAGGTAGTGAAAAATTCTTTCAGTCTCTGAAATGTCTTACTTTGCTCTCTTTCCTGAGTGATAATTTAGCAATGTAGACTTCTAAATTGACAATTATTTTCCTCCCAGTATTTTTTTTCTCTGTGTGTGCTCTATTCTGGGTAATTTCCCAATTCTGACTTCCACCTCATTAATATTCTCTTTGTCTGTGTTTAATCTGCTGTTAATTCTCCCCATATTGTTTTTTATAGAGTTTTCAATTTCAACAACCATAGATTTTATTTCCAGAAGCTCAATTTGGTACATTATCAAATCTGCTCACTCTTTCTTTATATTGGCTTTTATCTTTTTTTTACTTAATGCGATTTTAAAACTTGTCTTTAATCATTTAAAAAATATTTATTTTTAAATTTCTAGTCAATAATTCTATTATATGACTTTTTTGGTGGTCTAATCTTGCTCTCTGTGGTGCCTACCAACTTTCACTCGTGGCAGGTTATTTCTGTGAGAATTTTGTAATTTGAAGTTATGAACTCAGTTGGGCCTATATTTATGTGGGGGTCCTAAGCAGCCAAATGTGTCCCTTCATAGGAGTACCACTATCCCAGGACTACTTTTATGTTAATTTCTTGGTTTGGTGGTCCTGGAGACTACAAAGAATAATATAACTCAAACTCCAAAACTGATGGGGGCAGGCAAGGATTACAACCTCACAGGGAGACTTTTCTACAGAGACCACCACAAAGCTTTATGAAAATTGCTTAAATAAAAAAGAAATATGCAATAAGAATTACGAAAATAAATTACTTACTAAGGTGTTTGAGCACTGCATGTCGTTCACTGGGCAAACTACTGTTACTGTTCTCATGACACAGATGAGGAAATAAAAGCCATCAAGAGTAAGTAACTTAATGTGTCCAAAGTCATGCATGGCTAGACAGTAGAGAATCCGGGACTTGAACCATGGCAGTGGGCATGTGACCCAAGCAGGGCAAGTGACAATCCTGCTCCGGGATTTTTGTTGTTGTTGTTGAAGATTTTATTTATTTATTTGAGAGAGAGGACAAGCAGGGAGAGGGAGAAGGGAGCCAGACATGGGGCTTGATCTCAGGACCCCAGGACCATGACCTGAGCCAAACGCAGACACTTCACTGACTGAGCCACCCAGGTGCCCCTTACCCTGGGATTTTACCTCTTGTAACTGTTTCTCCACTCTTGGGTTACATAAGAGATGTGAACTCAGTAGCTACTGGTGACCAAGATTCCAGCCTTGAGAAGAGAGCAACACTGAGGTAAGTACAGATATGGGGGACAAGGAAGGTTCTGAAGGGGTAAATCCCTAAACACTCCCTGAAATCTGAAAGCACGTCAGTTTTTCTTGAATTTGGTTTCAAGAGCCAATAAATTTCCCTTCTAGGTTGAGAGTCCACGTAATGGACAGGTTGAAGGGCTGTCCTTGGAGCAGGTGCCTGGATTAAAATCTCAGCTCAGCCTCCAAATACCCATGTGGCCTGGAAAATCTACCCAGCTTCCCTAGGTCTTTCCTGTGTCTCCATAGCACCATTCGGCACTCTGATAAGTTGGAGATGATGGTAGGTATTGTATCATTCCCCCATTTATTCTGGCCACATGCCAGGTCCTGTTTCAGTCACTGGGCATAAGGCAAGCACTTGCCTTCAGAGCTCACAGGTTGGCTCCTGGCCTTCTGGGCCATTGTGCAGGCTAGATGAGATAAGTGGATATGAAATGCTTACCATAGGCCTGGTACACAATAAACACTCTAATTTTTATTAACATCATAAAGCTAATTCAGATTTGGTTTCTGTCATCTCAACCCGAGTGCCTTCTAATGAGCATTCTTCATACATAGTGGCAAAACTTGGAGTGATGTGAAGGGGTGACTGATCTTTGTTGTATATTCTTAGAAAAAGCATTAGATTTTAAATATTATTTTAACAATGAAATTAAAAGTCAGAAATATCTGCCTAATTAATTTCACATTTAGGATTCCAATTACCTTTTCTTTCAAGACTGTGAGTTTTACCCACATGTTTACCTCTCCCCTGCAAAGGTCACTGACAATTCAAGAACTATGTGGGTTTTTTATTATTATGATAAACAATACATAACATCAAAGTTACCATCTTAACCATTTTTAAGTGTACAATACTGTAGTGTTAAAAAGAATGATGTATATTTTTAAATAATAAATCCATCCCTGTATTGGAAGACAGGCACATAGATTGCGAATGGAATAGCAGTTTACAGGGATCTCTAGAAGACATAATGCAGACGGGATCAGAAGATGGAAAAGCCAACAAAAGCTGAATCATTGACTACATAGACACAAGGACAAGAAGGCTGCTGGGGAAGAAAACTGTCTCAGCACAGTGGGACCCTGCTGGAGTGGGGTGGGGTTCACTGAGTCTAGCGGTAGGGCCCTGAACTGCTCCCTATGTATAGTGGAGGGGGCAGGAGAGACCTCTGGGCCAGAGAAGTGGACTGTCACTGCAGAGAGGGCTTAGCTTTAGAAAAACAAAAAACAAAAAACAGTGATTCCTAGCCGCCCCCCTTCTCAACTTTCTCAGTGACAGGGCAGCCCTGGCCTACTTTCTGCCAGAGTACCCTTCCACCTACTCATCCCTGCCCTCCATCCTGAAGGGAAGCCCTTCTAGGGATGAACTTCACCCTTCATTCTTTTTGTTCTGTGTAAGATTCCGTTTTATGAAAATACCACATTTGGGGGCACCTGGGTGGCTCAGTCGGTTGAACACCCAACTCTTGATCTCAGCTCAGGTCATGATTTCAAGGTCATGAGATTGAGCCCCACATCAGGCTGAGGGTGGAGCCTGCTTTGGATTCTGTCTCCCTCGCCCTCTGCCCCTCTCCCGCATGTGTGCTCTCTCTATCTCTCTCTCAAAATAAATAAAGTTAGTAAAGAAAAAAGAAAATACCACATTTTGCCTATCAGTTCATCTGTTAAAATACATATTTGGGTTGTTTCCAATTTGGGACAATTATGAATAAAACTGCTGCGAACATTTGTATGTAAGTTTTTGTGTGGACTTTTGCTTTTGTTTCTCTTGGGTAAATACTTAGAGATAGAATGGCTATGTCTTATGGTAGATATATGCTAACTTTTTAAGAAATTAGCAAGGAGTTTTACAAAATGGTACTATCATTTTAAATTCCAACTTTTTCCATTTCCTCCACATCCTTGCCAACACTTGGCATTGACTGTTTTGTTTTTTTTTAATTCTGGCCATTTTAATGGATGTGTAGCAGTATCTTCTTGTCTGTTTAAATCTGCATTTCCCTGATGATATTGAGCCTCCTTTGGCATGCTTATAGACCATTCACATGCCTTCTTTTGTGACATGTCTGTTGAAGTCTATTGCCCATTTTTTAAAAACTAAGTAGTTGACTTACTGAAATTTAGTATCTCTATATACTCTGGACACAAGTTTTTTGTCTAAAGTTCTCTAATTTTGTTGCTTGCCTTTTCAAAGGCATTCTCTTTCAAAGAATAAAAGACTTTAATTATTATAGAATCAATTCACATTTTTTCTTTTTTTGGCATATTTGTTATGTCCTAAGAAATCTCTGCCTACCACAAAATCACAAAAATTTTCCTCTGCGTTTTCATCTAGAAGTTTTAGTTGTAACATTTAGGTCTTAATTTCAAGTTAGTTTTTATTTGTGGTGTCAAAAAAGGTTGATATTTGTGTTTTCCATTTTGGGATGTCCATTTGTTTGGGGCTACTTTTCAAATTATTTCAAAATATTTTTTATTATGGTAAAATATATATAACATAAAATATACCATTTTAACCATTTTAAGTGTATAGTTAAATGGCATTAAGTACATTTTCATTATTGTGCAACCATCTCTACCGTCCATTTGTCTCCAGAACTTTTTCATTATCCCACACAGAAACTGTGCCCATTATGCAGTAACTCTCCGTCCTTCTCTGCCCAGATCCTGGACCCACTATTCCGTCCTGTCTCTGTGGATCTTACTGCTTTAGAGTCCTCCCATTTTCACCATTTTTTAAAAGACTTTACTTTTCCACTGAATTGCCTTTCCACCTTTGTTGAAAACCAGTTGATCACATATATGCAAGTCTATTCCTGATTTTCTATTCTTTTCCTTCAATCTACATTTATACTTTCACTAATACCAGATTTCTTAATTTCTATAAAGTCTTGAAATCAAGTAGTATAAGCCCTACAACTTTGTTCTTTTGTAATTTTGTGGGCTATTCTAGGTCATTTTCATGTCCATATAAATTTTAGAATCAGCTTGTCAGTTTCTACAAAATTTTTTTTTAACCTGATGGGAATTTTATTGGTATTGAATTACATCTATTAATATATCTAGAAGGAATGGATTCTTAATATTGGATCATCCAATGTGTGATCATGGTAAATCCCCTCATTTATTTTGGTCTTCCTTAATTTATCTCAGCAAGGCTTAGTAGTTTTCAGTGTAGAATTCTTACACATTTTTGTTAAATTTATTCCTAAGAATTTTGTTATTTCACATTATTGCAAATGAAAATTTAATTTCATTTTTTATTTTTAGAGTTTTTTTATTATTTTTCACATACAGTGTTATATTAATTTCATGTGTACAATATAGTGATTCAACAATTCTATACATTACTCAGTGCTCATTGTGATAAGTGTACTCTTAGTCCCCTTCACCTGTTTCACCCATCCCCCTACGCCCACCCCTCCCTTCTGGTAACCATCAGTTTGTTCTCTATAGTTAGTACTATTTTTTTTGTTGGTCTCTTTTTTTCTTTGTTCATTTGTTTTGTTTCTAAGTTCATTTTATAATTGTTTGTTGCTAGTATATACAAATACAACTGATTTTTGTATATAAACTTGGTAGCCTGTAAACTTGTTAAACTCATTTAGTTCTAGTAGCATTTTTATAGGTTCCTTAGGATTTTCTACATAATCAAGTCATCAATAAATAACAAAATACTTTCTCCTTTTGAATTTTCTGCCTTTTATTTCTTTTTCTTGCCTTATTGCAATGGCTAGGACCACCAATACAGTGTCATATAGAAGTGGTAAGAGCAAGCAGCCTGGCTTTGCTCTCAGTCATGGGAGGAAAATGTTTGATATTTCACCATTAAGTATGATATTATCTGAAGGTTTTTTGTAGATGGGCTTTACTAGATTTAGAAGGTCCTCTTCTAGTTATCATCTTCAGAGAGTTTTTCATCATGAACAGATGTCTGACCTCCTTAAGGAACTTTTTTGAAAGCTTACTCAATAACTCTGCTTTATCTCATTGCCCAGAATGGGTCTGGCTGCAAGTGAGCTTAGGAAATGAAGTTCTTTCTTAGGTGAACATATTAATACCTCCCAACAAAATCAGGGCTCTTCTAATAAGGAAGAAAGCATGATGGATATTAGAATACGCAGGTAGCAATCTGTCACCCTGTGTATACAACTCAAGATTAAAGTTATTTACACTCCACATTTTTAACTTACTATTCTATTGTCATCTGGGTTCTACTGCTGACATTGAAATAAATCCTGTTTTAAGTTGTTATTCTTTCTGTAGGTAATTTGTTCTTTCTAGATGCTTTTAAGAGCCTGTTGTCTTTAATATGATTCAATTTCAATTTATGTGTAGGTCTTGTTTTAGTTTTAGTTGTCCTGTTTGGGATTTGTTAAGAGTCCGGAGTCTTAAGGCTTATGTCTTTCATCAAATCTGGAACTTCTCTGCTATTATCTTTTTAAATTTTATATCTCCTCAGTATCCTCTATAAAAATATGTTAGATCTCATGGATGAACCTTGAAAATATTATGTGAAGTGAAATAAGCTATTCACAAAAGGACAAACATAAGATCTACTTGTATTTGGTATTTCGAATAAGCAAATTCACAGGAACAGAAAGCAGAATAGAGGGGCTGGGAGAGGAGAGAATAGGTAGCTATTATTTAATGGGTACAGAGTTTCCGTTTTGTATGATGAAAAAGTTCTGGAAATGGATAATGATAATGGTTCCACAACATTGTGGATATATTTAATGAAATTGTAAGATGTGAAATTTTTTTAAAGATTTAAAAATTTTTAAATATGTTAGACCTTCTAATTCTAAAATATTCTCATCTCCCCCTCTATTTTGTATTCTGGGTAATTTCTGTAGGCCCATCTTTTTTTTCTTTTTTTTTAAGGTTTTATTTCTTTGAGAGAGAGAGAGCCCGAGAACAGGAGGGGGAGGGGTAGAGGGGGAGGGAGAGGCAGGCTCCCCGCTGAGCAGGGAGCCCAATGCAGGGCTTGATCCCAGGACCCTGAGATCATGACTTGAGCAGAAGGCAGACACTTACCTGACTGAGCCACCCAGATACCCCTGTAGGCCCATCCTCTAGTTCAATAATTCTCAGCTGTGTCTAGTTTGCTGTTTAATCTGCCTACTGAAATTTCAATTATATTTTTGTTTTCTAAAGTTATATTTTGGGGGCACCTGGGTGGCTCAATCAGTGAAATGTCCAACTCTTGATTTTGGCTCAGGTCATGATCTTAGGGTCCTGGGATCCAGCCCTGTGCAGGGATCCACACTTAGTGGGGAGTCTGCTTGAGATTCTCTCTCTCCCTCTACTCCTCCCCCTACTTGCTCTCTCTCTCTCTCCCTCTCTGTCTCTCCCTCTCTCTCAAATAAATACATAAATCTTTTAAAAAATAAAGTTATACTTTGTTCATTTTCAAACCTATCAGATTCTTTTCTTTTTCCTTTTTTTTTTTTTTTCCTGATCCTTTCTGACCATTTCTCATCTCTTGTTCAGGTTTTCAATTGCATCTTTTACCTCTGTGAACATTTTTAGCATACTTATATGGTTTGTGATTTTAGATTGTGATCTCATGTTTGGGTAATCCAATCTGTGAGAACCTGGAGAGACTGAGTTGAGACTGTACTCCTCCAGAGATGATTTGCATTTGCTCTTGCTAGGTGCCCCAATGCTGCCAACCTACAACCACTTCAACTCAATTCCAAACCACGCAGGTAGTATATAGTTAAAACCCACACCCATTTGAAGGTAAGTCTATGCTTATGAATTCTGAGGAGAGATTTTATTTGCATTATAATTATCATTATGAAATCTTTTACTTCTCTTTTTTGAAAAGCAATTTTTTTTCTAGTCTTTCTAGTCTATCACTGAAGTTATGGGTCTTTAAAAGTCCTGAGAATGTCCCCGATATCATACTTTCTTACCCTCTTACTTTTAGTTTCTATTTCATTTAGTGTCTCTGGGGATATCCCTTGCTTTCTTTCAAGCTCAGCATATACATTTAAAAGAATGCTTATTATATTTTAGTGAACATTTCCAAGTGTTTTGCAGTAGATTATGTTGTTGGAAATGTCTTCTTTTTTTTTCTGATTTTTTTTAAAGTAATCTCTACACCCAATGTGGGGCTTGAACTCACAACCCTGAGATCAAGAAGTGCATGCTCTACTGACTGAGCCAGGTGCCCTAGAAATGCTTTCCTTATTCAACCACAGCAGTCAGCACATATAAGTGTTTAATGATTGTTTGCTGGACAGATATTAAATGAATGCATAAATAACAGAAGGATATTCAACATTTTAAAATGTTTATTATAGACCCATACACACACAAACACACACCAAAATATGAGGCACTAGGAATATGGCACTGTACAAATGGGTTCCACCTGGTCAACTATGTCCTCTCATTCACTTAGGACTTTGGCATCTTTTTTTTTTTTTAAGTAGGCTCCACACTGGGCATGGAGCCCAACT